CATTAGATGCACGGACTTCCTGCCCCACATTTTGGGAGGGAAAAAGTGCGTCTTATGGAGCAAAAAATACGGTATATTTTGGATGTCACCCATGAAGACAGATGGTAAGGAATTAAAAGAATTGCGGAATATGATTAATATGTTGTATAATGGAATTAAAAGAGCAAGAATATATAAACATTTATGGCAAATATCTCAAAAAGGAGGTTTGGGTATACCAAATATTAAATTACACTTCATAGCAAATCATTTGAGGCACATTCCAGAGATTATAGCAAACAGGAGAGAGGCAATATGGACTTTATAGGTACAAAGAGAGTGTGGAGAATATTTTTGAAGAAAAATATTTAAAATTGTAAAAAAAGATAATAATTTTTAAAGTAATATGTTACAAAGTTGGGAGAATTATAGGAAAGTGTTGAGTCCTAAGATTTCTCCTTTGAGTGAAGTGGTGGAATTAAGAACTTTTCCAGAAATCCTTAAGAGAAAGTTAAATAAAGTTATGATAGGACAAGGAGTTATAAAAATAAAAGACTAGATAAGGAAGATGCATAATAGAGAGAAAATAAAATAATTTTTTAGGACAAGAAGAATCACCTGATTCAATATAATGCAGTTAGGAAATTGGACCAAGGAATGGAGAATGTAGAGTGATGATTAAATCTGAACAAATTGTTGAAATAACGGAGATGTAATAAAACAGAAAAGGGATAAGTGTAATATACAAGAAAGCTGTTAATAGATGATGAATATAAAACAACAGCTCTTAAAGAGGTACGAAGAGGAGATATAAATAAGAAATTAGTGTAAATGAATGGAAGAATATATGGAATTACAGAATAATGAAGAATATGTATGTAAGGGTTAAAGAAAACTGTTACAAAGTAATATGGAGTGCTATTTAACTCAAAATGAAACTGAATACAAGATAATGAAGAAAGAAGTATCACCCTCATGTTGGGAGATGCAAGAAAGAAAAGGGAACATGTTTCTTGTATATATGTACTAGACATGTGAAATTAGGTAGTAGTGATGGGCAGAAATTTTCAAAGAGATAAAGGAAATTATGGGTATTGAAACACATAAGTTGTCCAATAGCTTTGCTAAATATGTTTGGAAATATATTAGAATGGGGAAAAAAGGGAACTACATAATCATTATTGTGTTAAAAACAGCAAGGTGGATATTTGCAAAGAACTGAAAAAAATGATAATTTAGTATGGAGGATTGGTACAAAGAAATGTGGAACAGGACTATTAACTATAAATTAAATTGTGAGCTGAAAATTAGAATGGGGATGTTGAAAACAATTTTTAAGGAGATATGGAATGTTTTCTTAACACATATACTTGTTTTTTAAGGTTATACCTCGACACAATAATCATTATAGTTCTAGAGAGAAATGGGACCCGCAATGTAAAATAAAAAAAGAGGCCAAATAAAATAAAATCCCAAGGGTGGCAGAGAATACGGTGTATTTTGAGTTATGTTTGTATTTTAGTTTACATTTTAGTTAAGTTTTGTTCATTAAAAAAAACCTAAATATGCATTTTAAAAAACTAAATATTTTTCCATTCTCCGTATTGGATGTGGGCATCTCCACACAGAGGCAGGCTCATAAAGGGAAATGAGAGTCCTTGAGATAGGTTGGGCCCAAGACATTTAGAGCTTTCTCAGTTCCAACCAGCACTTTGAACGGTGCCCGGAAACGGAGCTGCTGTTATGGGATGCCTGGGACCAGCCCTGGTTGACTGTCTTTAAAACGAGTCCTGCTGGATGGGACAGGTCACAGCGTTACTACGAACTGCAGTCTACATTACACTTTTCAACCCTCCCCTTGGATTCCCCCCTCCGTAAATAGAGAACTCTCCTCACCAGTTCTCCTTCCCTCCTTTTTGTGGCGCCAGAGATAAGGTGGAGGGAGGAGGCTCTGCGTGGGGGGGGGGTAAGGGAGCTGTCGGTCTCCCCTCGGCCTGCCCCGCAGTCCCCAAAGGGAACCCTTTCGCCCTCCAAGGGAGCCAAACAGGGAACCTTCTTCCCCCCCCCCGCAGATGGCTTGGAAGTTGCAGGATTAGCCCTTTTGCGAGCATGAGAGGTGGAAGGAGGGGGTGGATGTGGCCCTTCAGGCAGCAGAAAGGCTTGGGCCGCAAATAGCCCTTGCTTGGGGGCTCCCCTCCGGCTGCCTCTCCTGCCCGGTCTTGGGGGGCTTCCCTTCCCTCGGATGGCCTCGGAGTTGGGGGGCCCTTCCCTCCTTCTCTCCCCCTCCCGCCCCTCTCCTCCCTCCNNNNACTCACCCCCCTTGTTGCAAGGGCATCCTAGGCAGCCTTTCCAGCAGCCCAAGCCCCGCTTTCTGTCCGGAGGAAGAAAAAGGGGGGACCGGAAAGGACTCTTTTTAGAAAGGGAGCATTTCCTATGGAGACTGAAGCCGCTCCCTCTTCCAAGATCCTCTTCCAGGAATGGCGACTCTGTCTTTTTAACCCTTC